ATGCCTGGCTGCCATCGTATCATGCCAGAATATATGCCTTCTTGGATTCTTTGCAGATTTTCTTCGCCATTCTTTTTTCTCAACATCATCTGTCGATTCTCCCATTACTCATTAATTAGTGAATTGTCTTTTAAAATCTGCTTATCTATGAGCTCACTTATGGCAAACGTAAATGATACGCGTACTCGCAGGATGGCGATTTCAGAATCGCGGCGGCAGAAGCACAGATTATTTTTGCGCGATTTCTCGGTCCTTTTTCGCCGCTGAACTCTATAATCTCAGAGTTTCGAGTTCGAGTTCGTATCTGAGATTCTCCATTTTGGACCTTATTCCGCATTTGCCAACTTCAATTCTATAGTGGAGCCGGTACGAATCGTTCATCTAGTAGAGCAAAACTTGAACAAGATAGCGACTTTGGATCACCAATGTATTCGGCGGTTGTTAGTTCGCTTCAGGTCTCGATCTCCAGTTTGGTGGATTCTACTGATGCTTGATATCAAGGCAGTATTTTCGTTAGATGTCCACGGTCTGTCTCGCGTTCTTGTTTTAATCTCGATGGATCTAACGGATCCATTACTCTTCTTTTTACACTTGTGTATTTCTAACGTATAACATATCGCCATTACAGATGAAATGTTGACCAAGCATTGGCTCTGCCTTTGCATATTGAATGTTGACGGTATGAGTGTCTTGAGAAATTCTCTCCATGCTGTATCGATTTGTGAGGTGTTCTGGCATAAAACGGAATCATGTCTCTATTTTGCTTCTCTTTTTTCCCTTTTTTCTCTCCTTTATTAAAATTGGATTTATTGAAATTGGACTCTGTATAATAGGTCCCACAAGAGTGATCGGAAAATATGTTCACCTGAGCAGAATTGCTCTACCCAGGCAAGGCTAAAATAGGAGGGAGAGGAGGATACGCCAGGTACCTCCGGATTGGCTAGAGCAGCGAGTGATGAACCGATCCATCCTCCAATGTCCTCGATTGAAGGATGTCTTTTTCGCCGCCTGCCATATCTTAAAGTTAGGAATATTTTATAGAAATTGTCCTCGGTTAAGGCAAAATCCTTGTACCTGCGAAACATGACCACAAGCTTAAGATATGATAGAAATCGAGTATCCCGGATGCGTTAAATCCTTGCACTCAATCAACGATTGCAGCCCCTGCGGAGAGTGCGCACCTAATCTGTAAAACCTAATCCTAAAAATTAATTAAACTAATCAAGAAAAATTGAAACTAATTAAATCGATCGAGAACTATTAAGACGCGATTAAATTAATGTATCTTTATTTTTATATTAATTACATAAATTATCACTAACTATTAGAATTAAAATTAATTAAACTAATCAAGACGAGTTAATTAAAATAAATAATCCGATTAAGATGAATAATTCGAATTAATTAAATTTAGTAAAACCGATAAATAAAAAAGTAATTAAACTAATTAAATAATAAATACATGCAAATGAAAATAATTGAACTAAGATATTAAACTATTAAAATTGATGTTTATGAAAGTAATTAAGTTGAATAACTGGAATTAATTAATCTAATTATACTAATTACGTCAATTGATATATGCAAATTAAAGTAATTAAACTAATCGAAACGATTAAAATAATTAAACTAATTAAGCCAAATAATTCGAATTGATTAAACTAATCGAGACGATTAAAATAATTGATTAAATAATTGAACCAAGACGAGTTTAAGACGAGTAATTCGAATTAATTAAAATGATCTAAATGAATTGATTAAACTAAAATTAATTATAACTATAAAAGTAACTAATAAAACTTTATTAATTATAACTAATAAAAGTAACTAATAAAAGTAATTAAGACTAAGAAAAGTAATTAAACTAATTTAGCGGAACAATTTGAATTAATTAAACTAATTGCACTAACGAACGCGTAAGAATTAAAGTAATTAAATTGATTAATATTTTTTTTTCCGGTGATGCTTAATGTATAAAATGTATAAATCTGACTGTGACAACGAGATATTAGCTCAATGACGCAGAAAAGTGTCGAGTGTTCAATGGTAATGGGAGAAGAGTGTAATTAAAGAAGTAAATGGAAAGACATTTGAAAACGGGAGTTGATCTCGAAAAATATTCGTAACTTTATAATCCGTTCCCGTTTTAAGATATCTTCTATTGATACGAGTCTATTTAAATTAATCGAGAAGATCAAATTAATATAATTTGTTATTGACTAACGAAAACAAGTAAGTGGAATTAGTTCAATCAATCGAATAATTAATCTATAAATTAAATTAATTCGATTATTAAGAAGTATGAATAAAAGAATTAAAATAATTAATCAAAAATTTAATTAATTAGATTAATTAAGACTTAACTATGTTAAGACTTAAATATGTAGTTCGATTAAGTCATAAAATACCTTTCATTAATGAACTATTTAAAACATAAATTAAACTAATTATATGAATTAAGCTATTAAAACATGTAAATAATATTAATTAAAATAATTAAAGATAAAATAATGAGAAAGAATTAAAGAAAAATAATAATAATTTAACGAGAATAAATGATAGGAGCCATTTATCTCGATTACTATTACTCGATATATTAACTGATTTTTTAACATTTGTTAACAAGATCGCGTTGCTTTGTTCCCTATCGATTTAATATCGATTTAATATAATTTGTAAATATTTATAAATATTCCGATATTTATTTGAAAATAATGTTTGAAATATGTTTGAAAATTATTAAATATTATTACAAATAAAAATAATAATAATTAATAATAACAATAAAAAAAATCATAATTATATATTTTTACGCTCTATCGATATCTATATACGCATTATTGCTAAAAAAAGAAAAAGAATGATCAAATCTTGATATTATCGAGTAATTTCTCGATACTTATAGACGAAATAAATATAAGAGTGAAATTAAATTCAAAATCTTGTTTTTATACAGTAATGTTTCCATAAATCAATTTAAAAGTATATGGTATGTTTATATTGCTGTATGTTTATATTGAAATAATTTTATTTATAATGTCATTTTACAATTTATAAATGTATTTGCAATTATTACATTATATTAGGATGTCCTATAAGTTTTTTTCGCACCACGCTAAGAATGACTTTAACTGTTTATTTTTATATGAACATGCAGACTTATCTATTAACTGTTCATCGCATCGGTTTCAGTCATCTCGAAGCTCTTCTAAAGTACGTTTCGTTGGTGATACTGTCTTTTTTAAAACTTTTTTCTATACTGTTCAATATGAATAACCAAAGGAAGTATTTGCGGCATATTATGCTTTATTGCTTTAAAAAAGATGATAGTGCAAATAATACTGAAGATGACATTTGTATTATTTACAGGAATGATGCTACAACTATTACGATTATTTGCAATTGGTTTAAGAGATTTAGAGCAGGCAATTTCGACTTGAAAGATGAAGGTCGCAGCAGGCGCCCAGCAACGACGAATACAGACTTTATTAAAACCATGCTCGCTGAAAATCTGCGATAGTGTATAAAAAATAGTAGATGATATTAACATTTCCAGATTACAAAATGATAGATAATGATCTAACCAAGATGGGATATGTCAATCGATGTGAAGTTTGAGTTCCACAGTTATTGACAGAGATTTTGAACAGCATCTGTACGTGCAATTTCCTTTTCCAGCGATATGAAAGAAATTCTTTCTTAAAGAGACTTGTCACTTGAGACTTGGATCTTGTATCAAAATATGCATCAAAAACGCACTTGATTTAATAGAGACCTTCAACTGCCGTGAAACCTGGACTTCACCCGAAAAAAGTTCTTTTATCCATTTGGTGGAATTGGAAAGATGTAATCTATTATGAGCTTCTTTCTCAAGTCATCAATTTTGGAAAATACTCCAATCAGTCTGATAAATTGAAATACGCCATAGCAGAAAAACAGCAAAAATTGGCGAATCGATGAGGCCATCACGACAATGCAAAACTGCATGTTGCATTGACTGTAAGAAAAAAGCTGTTACAGTTTAATTGGGACATTCTATTGCATCTTCTGTATTCCCCAAATCTTATTCTATTCAATTATTACTTGTTCCTGTTATTAAAAATATTCTCTTCATGATAAACGATTCCAATCCGTAAGCGAAATAAAAAGACAATATTTTGCAAATAAACCCCAACAATTTTGGAAAAAGGAAATAATGAGAGATAGAAGAATATGATAGAGCAGAATGATTCATATATAATGCAATAAATTAATCTTAAACAACAAATATCATGTGTTCATTTCCTATCAAAAAAAAAAAAAAAAAGAAACTTATGGGATACTCTCCCATAATCCTATTATTATTTGCTTTAATTTAACAGGATTTTGACATCGATAATACCAATGTCAGTAATGTGATCTCTTTCTTCTATTTCTTTCATTTCAATTTGTAATTTGTTCATGAATCATGAATTTGATTATCATTCGAAGTGATATAATTAAATAATCAATTCTAAGATAAAATAATATGGAATTTGTTACGCGAGAATATCGAGAGTTTGAAGTTTATTTATCTTATAATTTATCTTATAATTACTTAAAATTTTTCATTAGGGACAATTTGAACTGATAATATAATGGGGATATAAACGGAAATAGAGATTTAATGAAAACTTAAATTGCTTTTAATTTAATTTAATAGATTAGTTAATAATATTTATTAATTTTTGTGTTTGTATTGACTTCTAAAATCTTCTAAGTTTCACAAATATATTAATGTATAAATAATCAAAGGGAGAAGAGAACGGGAAAGCGTTCTGTTCATTATAAAAATCTTATTTGAAAGAAATGTATTATATGTTAATCATATAATAAATTTATTATGGCGAATATTATAATTTTTTTCTTATTCATAAACTATAATAATATATTATTATGTAAATATAAAATGTAAAAAATAATCATAAATTATGATTTTAGTGATAAAAATTAATTTTCCAAGAATCTTTGGACCGCAAGCTTCATCGTACTAACAATGGACTTATTTGTACTAATACAATCAAATATGTTATTATAGTATTAAAAATCTGAAAGAAAGATTAAATCCTTAAGTAATTAATCCGGTTATACATTCGTTTAACTTACCATTGTTGATAACCTGTTATTAAGTGTATAATCACCAGCAGTAAATTTTAAAGGATGAAGAAAGAGTTGTAACGAAAATTGTAGTACCTGAAATTATTGTTGTCATTAACTTTTATTTTTTAAATATTTTTAATTTTAAACTCTAAACTATAAATTATTTGTATTTGATTCGTTTTTCGATATAAAATATTCTTTGAAAAAGTCTATAAGAATTCGTACAGATACTATTCGCTGATATAAATAAAATCAGAATATAGAAACAAAGTAATTTGTGCGCTANATATATATATTTCAAAAATGAATATATCTTAGCTAGAGATTCTTGAAGTAATTTCAAGCTTTCTAATTTTTTACAAAAATTTTTGTTTCAGTTTTTTGTATATTAATAAAAAACATTAATCAATCGTGAACGTATCAAATTAATATATTGTAGTATATATATTGGTATGTTGAGTACATGATCAATATAACAAATAAATAAATTTTAATATCGAAATAAGATATTGAATATTTATTATATTAAATTATATTAAATTATATTATATATTCGATATTATATGTTCGATATAATTTATCAATAAATTTAAATACTTAGTTATTATAGGATGAATAAATTGAATTTATTTATTCTTAAAATAAATAATATAAATTTATGATATAAAAAGACAAATATAACATTTTTTTAACAATGATCAATAAATAATATCTAATTGAAATGAAACAAAAAAATACATAAAAACAAAAAAAATACTTAAATTAGAAAATAATTTATTAAATAATTAGATTAGATTATTAATTAGATTAGATATTTATGGATTATTTAAAATTAATTAGATTTATAGATTATTAATTAGATTAGATCAATTCACTCACATAAAAAGTTTTTCAACTTTTTGAAATATAATTATTTACTGTACCGTTTTTTAATATTGATGGTCAAAGTAATTTATAACAAATTAACATTTAACATGAAATTAATTGAAAAATAAAAACATTACTGAAGAATAATACATACAAAAATAATATAATATATTTGTTGCTCATTGAATTTAATTTTGTTGAAAATTGAATTTAATTTTTCTTAATTCTTCGCATTATTAAATTTGAATATTATTTACTATATACTATTTCTATTTAAATCACTAATTTTTGAGTTTGAACTATGATTTTGAAAATCTAAGCGATTCTTTCTATTGTGTATTATGAATTTTAAAAACTTTTTTCTTTATGTAATGTAAGATTTTTAATAAATTAAAATAAAAGATTATGCTTTTAATGTGTTATTTTTTTTTTTTTGAAATTAAGTCAAATTTTGTTGAAAAGAATGCAAATATAATTTATAGTAAAATCCATTGAATAGATAGAGATTTATAAATATTTAGATTAAAATTTATAATTTTTAAAAAAATTTATTTTAAAATTTATCATCTAAGATTATTAATATCTTTTTAAAGAGAATATAAAAATATAATGCCAAGTAAAAGATTGTTTTCTAAAGCAAAAAAATAAGATTATAACATAAATATAAAAATATATATTTAAATAAAAAATAAATAAATATTGAATCAGGCGATATTTCATCATGCTACATATTCTTCTATGATATTTATATAAATTATAAAATAGATGAGATTTTGAATTTATAGATACAATTGAAAGAATAAATTTTTCTGTTGCAACGTGAATTATCATATTTATAATTAACTTAACTATAATTTATTCATTAAAAGAAGAAACAAAAATTTTTGCTTACAATGAGATCTTTCATTATTTATATTATATGTTCTCCTTTGGTTGAAATTAGATTAAAATTAAGACTATATTAAAATATTAAAATATAATTTATACATTAAACTATGCTTAGAGATTAAGAATTGTTTGTTTATATAATTTATATAAATGATATAAAAAAAATGTATATATATAAATGTATATATAATACCAGTATATAGTCATATATTATCATAAATGCATATGTATATATTACATATTTTTGAATATTATTATACAAAAAATATTTATTATATCTTAAGGAAGTGGTTTTAGTTTTTGAATCAGTAGAAATTTGATAAGAAAAATAATTGTAAAAGTGATTTTGGATACGATTTTCAATTTAAATTATTCTTTTATTTTCTACAATGTATAATACTCATCACGAAAAATAAGTATCAAATAAATCATTTTTAAGTTTTATGTTCATTTAAATTTATAGAATGCAATTTTTTTCAGGATTTATAAATAGAATATTTATTTTAAAAGAAAATTATTTTTTTTAATGCATAAAAAACGATTTTTTTATAAAATGTTTACAAAGTCATTTTTTAATAAAATGCTAAAATCTGTTTCAAATGCTAGAGATTATTATATAATATTATATAATTATAATTATTATTATATAATATAAAAAACAATTAAGTGAGATCAATCGAAATATATCGCGATATATTAAAAGATTGCGCTACACGCTAAGATTGATATCTGATCATATTAATAATATTTTCAAAAGAAATTCCATAATTGGATAAGCAATTTCGAGATTTATAATTTAATAAACACCAAGTAAAGCTCGTAATTAAGATACAATAAAGAAAAACAAAATATTATTTATGACTTTGCTTATTTTTCAAAATGATTAAACAGTTTTTTAATCTGGATAAAATCTGCGAAAAAGATATATGATTATATAAAATTGAATATGTTTAAATAAATGACTCTATTTATCGAAAATTTTAGAATTAGATAAATATAGTTAAATAAATTGCAAAAAAAAATTCACATTTCCATAATATTTTCAAATATAACATATTTCAAATATAACATAATCTTAAAATTGTTCTATTTATTAAAAGTCATATTGATTTGATAATAATCTTGGAAATATTTTTTAATATATTCCATATTTGCTATATAGCAGCATTTGATGCAGATTTTAAAATTTTATAAAATAATTAGCTTATAAATAATCATTTTATAAAAAGTTCATTTTCTAAACGTGCATTTTGTAAAAGAAAAGGAATTTTCTAAAAAAAAAGAGATCTTATAAAGAACCATTTTGTAAGAAGAGATATTTTTTCAAGCAATTAGATATAATCATTTTCTAAATATTTATATAATAATTTTCTAAATAAAATGAATTTAAATACATAAAATTTAAATATTTTTTTCTAAGAGAAGAGTATCTTCATGATCTATGAAAATATTTTTTCTTTGTCACAAGTATTATATGCAATGCGTTAAAAAAATAATTTAACCTTGAAAGTCATGCTCAAGATCAATTTTGTATTTTATTTAATATGTGACTATTAATCCGAAAAACGTACAATTATTTTTCAAAATCGTAACAATAATTTTTTAATACTTTGTACAAACAAAATTTAATAATATAATATCAAAAGTTTTTTGCAAATAATTCAAAAATTAAAATTATATATTATATGAAAGAAAATATTTACTTAAAATAATACTTCTTTGCAATATATTTTAGGATCATTAAAATTGAAAAGAGAGCATATAGAGAAGTTTAATCTAGATTTGTTAGATTTTATTTTCGATATTTTTAGTAAAAATGAATCATAGTAAATTTAAATTTAATTACATAAATATAGAACTTACCTCATCTCTAATGGAATTATCTAAATAGCAAATATCTAATTCTCGAAGCAAATGTGCTGTTATTTCTACCTATAAAACTTTAATATTATATATATATATATATACTTGTATGTATATTAACTTTTCGTTTATGATATTACATTCTTACCTCGCGATAAAAATTAGTACAGTGATTATTTATAAGAATAATTTTTGTCGAAAGCAAAGAAATCCATATAATAGTTATTGAAATTTCTTTATCTAAAAATACTTCTGATAAATTTAATGATATTAAATAAAAATATGTATTATAAAGTATACATAGCAATAATGAAAATTGTAAAATTATATCCAATAGAATTTGATAAGTATATGCTTGATTGAGTTCACGTGAAAGTTTAAGAATCTCAAAATGAATATATCTTTAATAAAAAAAAGAAAAAAAGATTAGTAGTTATAAGTAAACAAAATAATAATAATATGATATATATTATATTACTATAAATTAATAATATTATATTTCTATAAATTCAGAAACAATATTATCATTAATATTATCATATAGGGAAAAAGAGGTAGCTCCAAACATTTAAATAAAATAAAAGAAAGAAAAATAATCAATAATAAAATTTTAAGAAGAAATTTTTTTTTATCTTAAAAAATATTTAATTTTAGCTTCTCAGATTTGAATTTATAGAAGTACTTCCTAATTAATTTTATTTAATATTTTTGTTATCAATATATATATATGAATATAAAAAAAATTAATTAAACGTTCAAAAATTTTAAAATATATTGAATTGTTAATATTAAAATGAATTTCACAATAAACATTGATGAAATTTGACTAAAATTTTTTTGCTCTCAGTAATGTCATTTTCAATGAGAAGAAAATTTCTTTCGAAATTGAATTATTTTAAATATATATTACAATTGAATGTGATGAATGTGCGTGAACTGATATTATTCGAAGTATTACTTATTGCCCTAGGATTGTACAATCGTTTATATTATGCTTTGAATGATGTTAAAATGGTATTTTATTTTAATTATTTATATTATGCTAATTGACTGTAATGATTATACTTGTACTTTGAATATGAACTGTATTGCTGCATTCTATTTGATTTGAATTTTATTTTAATTAATTATTCTGAAAGACTGTCACGGGTTATTTCTCCAATTATTTTCCACGAAAATGCAAACTAAGAGGAAATTAGAGGAACCAATAATCGCGTTGGATGGAATCGCGTCATAGCGTATGGGATCAGATCTTTACGCTCATTTTCATCGCAAGACACTAAGTGCGCAAGCGTGACTTGTGAAATAGTTATTGCTGCTATATCTTTGTTTTTAAATTAAAGAACTATATTTATTAATATAAATTATGAATAATGTAAATTATTATTAGACTATTGAAAATACTCGAGCGTTTGATCGCTTCACAAGTTATAACAAAATTGATTATAATATTTAATATGTATGTTATTACTAATTTATAATTGTTTTTAGAGACAGTTAGTCAAGATATTAAAAATGTACGGAGCTATTCACTATTTGCGATTGACTTTCACTTTTCTCCTATATTATATAAAATTACAAAATTCTACATATATTGAGAAATTATTAAACATACCTTGTAACTTGAAGAAGATGTTGAACAAAATGTTTTTTGTTATAATAGTTTTTTATAATTATATATTTATCTGCAATATGCATCTTATATCTTATATTAATGTCATTTATACTTGAAAGTTGATGTATTTCTTTCATAACATTGTTCATTTTACGCAATTTATCCTGTAAAATACTTAACAAAAATCCAAAATCATCAATTCAAAAAAAAAAAAATACTATGAATGATTATAAACTTATCCATATTTTCATTTTCCATAAGAATGAAATAAAGATTTAAAAAAATTTTATGTATTTCTGTAATGTGATACACAAAAAAAAAAAAAAAATAAAAAAAATGAAAGAACAAAAATTTCGCTTTTCATAAATCTGAAAAAAAAAGAATGTTTTCTTAGATTGGCATTTTAGAATAAGAAAAAAAAATATAAACTCAAAAAAATAAACTCAATTAATTTTAATATCCTTGTATTTAATATTTTTTTCAATTTTTCTTTATTTTTAATTAATAAAAATTGCAATTGACTAGTAATTGAATAATTTTATTTGATTCAAATTATCAATCTTTTAAATTGATCAAATATTTCATATTCAATTATATTCACATTGTGGTTTAGAATGCTATTGTTATTATTCCTCGCATCGCATTGTCTTAGAAAAATTATACTTTATTAATCTAATGTTATTACTAATTTATAATTGTTTTTAGAGACAGTTAGTCAAGATATTAAAAATGTCTTTATTAATCTAGGAAAGAACAGATTCTGAGCTATTTATTATTGAGGATTGATAATCTCTCGTAATGGACACTACTATTGTTAAAACTTGATTGGCCATTAATCAATTATAAAATGATAAAAGTTAGATTTTGCCACTTTTTATTTACAAGATAGATGCAAGCTAATGATTTCTTGGGATGAATAATTGTGTTTGAAATAGTAGTGTTCATTCTGCATTAGTTTAAAATTAATTGTTAAAACAAGACTTGCAACTTCATTCTGTATTAATTATAAAAAATATTTTCTGATTTCAAATGCGACTAATATTATTCTGTCTTGAAGCTTTATTATCTTGCTGCTCATTATCTTGCATTTCATTTCTTATCTTCATTCCATTTCAAAGAAGATTTAAAGAGATTGCGATTTAAAGAGAATTAAATTTGCTTCTAAATAATAAACTATGATAATATTGATGTGGAATGATGGGATATTGATAGGTATGATGCCAAATAATTAAATTTTCTAAATCAAATAAAAAATTTAATATAGTCTGATTCAGCGATAAAGATTCTATTTCAAAAGATTCTTAATATATGGTTTAGCCATAATAAGATCTAGGATAAATAAAAATTTTTCAAGTGTCACAACAATGTGGCCATAAGATAAAGAAACTATTGAATTTTTTCCAAACTACTCAAGGATATACGTATGTTGATGAATTTATAACATAATTTTTATTATTGTTTTAATATGATTCAATCTATATTATTAATTCGTTCTCAGTTCGTTCATATTTCACTCTCAGTTTTATGTCTTTTGATTTATTAATATATTTTATGAATTTTTAGTGGTAATATAAAATTTAATTTTATAGCAATAAAATTTTACTATATTTTTTAATTATCATTTAAATTCAAAGATTTTCTTATTTTCTTAAATTTTTTTTTATAACACTTTTATTTTATATTATATAATGATAATTATTTAAATTATTAATTATTATAAAATTATATATTCAATAATAATGCAAATGATATAATGATAATTATACAAGTAATCATTAACTTTTACTAACGAACATTTTGTTTAAAAATAAAAAAAAATATCACATTAAAATTTTATTGAATTTTTATAATAATATATAAAAATATTTAAATTCTTAATGTAATATTTAATATAATATAAATATAATATAAAAATTAAAAACATAATATTAATAATTTAATTATCATTATATACATCGATATATGTATATCATTTTTATAATTTTAATATTTTTACTATAATATTTATTTTTATTATTATTCAACGCTTGAACAATCGTAAATTTATTAAAGATTTATTCATATTATAGATATGCACTAATCCATTTTAATTTTAACTTTGCTCCAATAAAATTTTGTTTCCAAAATCATTAATTGAACATGATTGAATTGAGATTGAAGAGTTACTTGTAAATTTTTTTCTGTTATCTTTCAAATAGATATTATATATTTTGTAATATTATTTATATTTTTCGGTTTTTCCTAATTATAACTTTTTTGTAAAAAAAAATAATTTATAGATCTAAATAATTTATTGATTTAAAAAAAATAAAAAAATCATATTATAAAAGTTTTTATTATTTTATTTTTCAGATTCTATAATTTCCATAGCCAATATTAAAATTTGATTTTGACACCATTAAAAAATTAGAGATCTATTATATAATAATAAATTGTACTATATCTTATATTTATCAATTAATAATTAAGAGCAAAAATTAATTATATTGCAAAAATTAAAAAATAGAAATTTTTAAATAGAAAAAATTTAAATAATTTAATTATTAGTGTTCATTATCGCTTGATTATATGTAATTAAAAATAAAAGAAAAAAATTGATGAAGATAATGATGTTCTAAAATACAATTTTAAAAGAATATTCGTTTTTCCTTCAAATTTTTGACACAAAATTTTTTGTTTCGTGTTTCCTTTCATTTCTTATACCAGAAATGGAACTATACAATTCTTCTTTGTTTTATTTTTGTTTTTTCTTTATTTAAAAATTGTAAAAATATAGATGATTATAATTATTCATAATTATAATTATTATATAAATAAATTTGAAATAAAATAAAACTTATGAATTTGAAGTTATTTAAGAAAATTGATATTTCTTAAATTTATTAATTACGTAATCTAGTATATTATAATATTATAGTATAATATTATTATAATATAGTATAATATTATGTTTTTAATTATTGTAATATTATAAACTAAATTATTTAAAAAAATCAAAAATATATTATTACATATTTTTAAAATAACTTGATTTTAAATTTATCTACAAATATTTATTTTTCTATTTGATTAATTTTGAATTCATAAGCATTTTTTTTTTTAATTTACCTTACAAATATGGTGAAAATAAAAATTCCTAAATATATAATCGTTACTGGTATATATGTAAAAATACCCAAATAGAAATTTTGTTCATATATATTAATATACCGATAACAATGAAATGAGAATATAATTATTGTTATTGTGCTGGACGTAATTAATTTTTGTGCAACTTGAAGAAAAGTTTTTCTATAATTTTTTTCAATACCAAATGAATCCAAGGTATTGTTTATTTGTTCACATCTTGCAATAATTTTCCTCGAACACTATAATGTAAAAAAAAAAAATATGAGAAATAAAAATCTTTAAAAAATAAAAATATTTATAAAAATAAAATACTCTTTAATTCTAGAAATCAAAATAAATAAAAATTGGTGTACAAAAATGTTAATTAAGGTTTTAAGTTATAATCAATTCAAGTTTATGTTAGATGAAATGAAGAATTATCACGAAGTATGAAAACTTCGCAGTTTTAAAAACAAAGTACTCTCAGTTCTATATTTTATTTCATTTAAATCAAATTTATAAATTGTTAGAATATAATAAATAAATCTCATTTGATATTTCTTTATATTAACTTTTATACTTTAGTATAGTAATTATTCAAAATAGAATGAAATTAAGAAACTAAAGACAAATAACGATTATATATGGGAAAAAGTTCACAATCTTGTCTTTTATAAT